AGAGCATCTCTAAATGAACTGCCCCTGCCGCTCATGGTGTTAACTCTGAAATCACAAATTTAATATACCATTGCTTTCTTCAAGCAATTTGGTGTATCAATAAACCTTGGAATTTCAGAATTTCTCAAAATCAGACATCATATGTGGCAAAATGTAATTTTTACACTAATAATGTGTCTGCTCTGACACCAAAGGAGGAAACACAGTTATAAACAGCATATGTACGGAACAGAAAACAGGCACATGCTCATATTATAGATAAAGAACACTTCAGCAAGGTTCATGGACATACAATTTACAAGTCACTTATCCTGCCGTGCTCCTCTCCCCTGGTTACTTCCTCTTTGATTTTAATTATCAAAAAGTCTGTTAGAATTCCTCCCTTACATATATATACATACACACATACTCTGAAGTTTAGACTAGAAGTGAAACAGCCAATCAAAAAAGCTAAAATATTTACATGATGCAAACTTCTTTTTCTAACTACATTTTCATCAAACCAGCTACTTTTTGATGCCACACACACTTATAAAAGGAGAAAGGCTTATGAAATCATTTTAGCACTCTTCCAACAACAGAAAGTTGTAATTTGCAATTGTCTTTGGCTTTTTAGACCATCATGTGAGAATTTACCGACACAGCTCTCAGGTTTCACAGTAAAAAAACCTATTGATCTCAATTAAAATTGCTTTACAAACCAAACTTTTCAAAGTTTACTAATGACAAATATTCATATTTTACCTGCTTTTTACAGTATTCATGCTAAAATTACTTGTCACCCTCTATTTTGGGTATTTGGTGTCAAATTAGACTTAAAAAAAAAAAAATTTTGCTGCTTTTATGCCAAATTTGACTGTCGGTTTTTACTGGAACATCAAAAGCAGGCTTTTAATTCTCACAGTTTTGATGCTTAATGAAAAGTGAAAGTTAAACACAGCATGGCAGCATTAAAAATGCATGGTAAATCCATAGCACCCTGACATCTTAGCCCTGCAGAGGATGTGAAGAAAAGCCATTGTAAACAAAAGATAATACTACTAAATACAAAGCAAATTAATTAGATGGTCTGACACACTCTTAAACAAAGAAAAGATGGAGGGAGAACATATGTACAACTATCTTCCAGCAAAGATATCACAGTGGTCTGTCAGCAGCACAACCATATATTGAATTTAAGTTTACGTGTTTGTTTTCAGGCCTTGCTCCTGACTATCTGAAGATTGATACATTGATTAGCTGCTATAGTCCAGAACTTGGACAAAGAAGGGGTTTTGCATCCTCAGCTGTACCATACAAAGCAGATGGCAAAGACTTTTGGCTCTGAATCACCTATTGTACACACTGCAGACTGCTAAAGATGGTTATTAGTTAAACTCTGAACACTAAACCCGAATTTAACCCAACTCAGTTCCAGAAATAATGTCCAAGTTCCCCTGCCTAATTTCAACAGGGACAAGCAACTGGCCCACCTAAAGCTCCTGGCATTTGCCATTTCTGAGAACTCTGATCTCCGATAGCGGTGAACTGAGCTGTAAGCTTATCAGTAGTACCTGAGATGATCTGGTTTTCTCTCTGCAGTCTTCTAGGTATTAAGCTTCTCATTCAGAAAATAGGAGCAATACAATATTTTACTATTTTAATGCATTTTTATATTAAAATGAGAGAACAATATTGCCACTGTTTGCAATATATGGAACATTTTACATTCATACATTCTACATAATGTTTGTGCACAAATGGGAGTAAGCAGACTAAAATTATGCCTTCATTGCATTTTACCAGTTTGTCCTTAGGTAACAAAGATGTGAGTCTCAGCTCACTCTTGACAATACAATGTGTTTATATCCTTTTGCTTTGCTTTCTTTTATGCATATTTAGCTGATTTTTCTTTTGCTTTCACCTGATCCAAAGTTATATTTTAACAAATCTTATATGTATTATTATGAGAGGCTTGTACAGGCATCCCATAGCAATCTAAAGAGAAATATATAGCTGCAGTGAGCGTAACACTGCAGCTGAACTCTTAGCATTTGGGTCATGAGGCAATGGCAGAAGATCAGAAACCTCGCAGCTACCTCTGGTCAAGTTTCTAAGAACAGCAGAGTTCCTGAAAACAGAGCATTTCAGCATAGAATCATGCATAATTTATATAACATGTACTACAGCAAGTTACTCAGGGTAAAGAAAGAAGTTAGAATATGCCAGAAAAGGTAGCACTCAGTGTGCCTGAAATTAAGCAGCTCTCCAGATCCATCCCTTTCCCCACTCCTTTAACCCTGGTTTAGCGAGGCAATAGTTGCTACTCCATCCCATGTCCTGCTTGTTTGCTGCTGTCCTGAAGAGAAAAAATTGCGATTCCTTTTAAGAACAAAAACTTGGACTGAATATTCCTCTTCTAAACCTAATGCTAATTTTAGTACAATTCAGGCAAATAAAATAAGAATCAGAATTTTAATGTAACAGGGTAATGAATGGCAAAAGAGAAGCTTAAAATAACCCAAGCCCTCTTTGCTTTATTACAGGGCCATCACCTGTTTTGAAAAGGCCAATGCAGAAGATTGCCAAACATGCATTAGCACTTAAAGGATGCAAGCAGAAGAGGAATGCTTTAAACTGATTAAAAAACATCCATGTCCAAAAAGACTGGGTTTGGAACTGTTCACAGTATTTTAGATAAAATGCTGATTCACCTTTATATAAATTTTCCTAAAAAAATTTAGATTTGTACTGTTTAAGGTGCATTTAATTTAAACTAACATAGTGAAAGTGACCAAGTGATTCTTTTATCCTGGGGTTTGAGTGCTCCTAGGTATCTCTACATATGCATGTGAACTAGAATTCAGTGATTTTTCATCTTGCACAATAAGCACAGACAAACAAAAACCAGTAAGAATGTGCCTCCTTACCTACAGAATCACTTAACCACTGAATATATAAAATTAGTGTGCTTAATATGGACTTAGCTGTTGTCCAGAATCTACTCCGGGTGGAATCAGATACAAGATTTAAAGGTTCCCTGAAGAAACTTACGCTAAAGGAAACGTTTCTGTAGAGAACTGCTGCATCAGCTCCACTAACAGTCAGAAAAAACTGAGCTTATGATACTTGCTTGCCCTAAGGGGTCTTTTTAAGGAGATCTGCTGCTAATTTGTTACATAAGATTTAGTGCAAAAAGCTTATGGAATGCAAGTTTCCATCTTGCATTTTGTGCAAATTGAGAAATAGGAATATTATAGCACTTTAAATTTCTCCTGAATATTTGTTTAAAGTCATCATTCATTCGCAACAATTGCACAAATCAACAGGAAAGTTGCCTTTAAAATGATGGATGTTCATCCTACTCGCTTTTACCCTTGTGCATCAATATACATGATCACACACATCCTAATAAATCATAAAATGATTTGGGTTGAAAAGGACCCTTTAAAGATCATCTAGTTCTAACGCCCTGCCATTGGGCAGGGACACCTTCCACTAGACCAGGTTGCTCAAAACTCCATTCAACCTGACCTTGAGCACTTCCAGGGATGGGGCATCCACAACTTCTGTGGATAATCTGTTCCAATAAATAGTATTTTTTCTTTACTGTTAAAATGATATTTTGGCATAACCAATATGTTTCTATTTAACATCCTCTTCAGGTGAAATTATATGTTGCCTTTAGGTCTGAAAGTCTTCCCCTGGGAAGCAGCTAGATTCATAAGTACCTATTAAAACTTCACATGGCAATGACTGAAACAAATGGTCCTTCCTTGAAACCAAGATTAACTTTTATACCAACAGCCCCATCTTTCTACATCAGCTGCACTACTCTTTTCCCTTCCACCCCACACCTGACAGCACACAGCTGACTCTTGCACCCAGCACCTTTCCTCTGCTATGGTTCCTTCCTCACTCCCCACTTCCCAGGATAACAGGAGAGCTCAGTAGGGCCCTAAAGCAGAAAGACAGCAGAAGGGACTGAGATTTTGGTATAGCTAAGGTGATTTCTGGAATAAGAGTCACTATAGTCCAATGGTTTTCAGACAAAAGTGTTGTGGGTATTGTGATGATACTAGATACAGAGGCTCAGTAACACTGCAATGTGTAATTCCACTGAATTAATTGTAAATACTTGCAAAATTTGGCTGAAATTTTCGTAACACAGGCCCATGTTTATGAAAATAAGGAAGAGGCAATCAGAAATGATTTTTCATTATGATTAAACTATAGCAACAATACAGCTTATAAAGGCTTCTGTAAAAGCAAGAAATAAAAAGGTTAAGCCAATATTTTACTGCAGAACAACTCCACAAATGTGCTCTCTCATGTCCATGCACTTGATTTTTCAAAAACTGGTTTTCTGAAAGAATAAGGTATAGTTCTTGCAGCATCCATCTCACCAAAACTGTCATCTCGAAAATGTTCTTCTTATTTTCCAACCCCTCAAACTCAACTATGAAATCTGAAGCACCAGCTGAACACTAGGCTAATGCCACAGAAACTATTCCAACAATCCATTCCATTTTAACTAAATAGGTTCAGATAGTCAACAGAAGTAAAAAACAGTCATATCCCATTTCTGGCACTAATGGAACATGTCCACATGTCCAGAGCAACACTGAGCAAAGATACTCAAGCTCAATCTGAAGGATCACAGAGTTACTAGAGCACCACAAGTGCCCCTGAGCTCTGCTGCACCACAGGTAATGTGCCATGCCAATTATCCAGGAGAGAACGGCACACTAACAGAGCTACCTGCTTCCAACACCCGAGCTAGATCCCTTGAATATCTCTGCACAGCTCTGAATTGTGCAGGATACCTGAATTTCTAATTTAAACAGGTGTGTTACTTAATGCATTAGAGTAACAAGTCTCATGTAGCAGGTACCACTTTCACACAGTAGCTTTTCAGAGCAGAATCACGCCAAGTTCAAGCTTTGGGTACGAAGCACATGCAATACTCAACAGGTAGATATTACTGAAAGTCCAAAACACAAACTAAAGCAATGCATTACCATTTTTATCCATGGAATGAGGCTCCGATTGCTTCTTTCCAATATCAGCAAAGGATCTCACAATTGGGATCCTGTTACTCAGCTTCTTCTGGTTTTGATGGTGATGCTGTTTCAGTAATGCCTCGTGCACTCTGTGACGAACATCCTCGCTGAGCTGCCCAGAACCCACCTGCTGGTCCAGAATCATATCTGAAAACATACATAAACATGATAAAAGAGGGGAAAGTGGAAACACTTAAATTTTTCAATTACAATAATAAGAATTAGTCCTTTAACAAGACAAATTAAATGTTAAGTTTTATCTAGAAGTGTTGCACTCTCAGTAAAAATAAATAAATAAATAAATAGATAAATAAATAAGGTTACTATCAATGGAAAAAAGTCAAGCCCTCAAAAGATATGTAGTTCCCAAATTAAGGTCACCTATGTAGCTTTGAAGTCAGTCCCTAAGCGCTCTTTTTCCTTCTTTCCCCCGCCCCAAAAATAAATGCTACCCTATTTGCTGCAAAGGACTTGTACGCTGTCAGGAAACAACAGGAAACAACTTTTTTGTTCCCTTACACTTATCACAGCACATCACACTTTAGCTCTTTATTTCTTGTCACTATAATTACAATACTTTCAGTACAGTCTAAAGAAATTTCAGATAATACATGAAATTTTGCTGCATCATTTGCAAATACTTAATAGGATCTCATTCTACTGCCAGATGTACATGTTCTTGCAAGAGAATCATTACATAGAGGTGTGAGTGAAACAGATCCCCCTGCTAAGAAATTACAACCATTTTTGCAGTCCATCAGCAGAAAATATTCTTACTTATTCATATTCAAAACTACTGGTAAATATTTACATTATATATTTCAAATGGGAAAGAACCACTCAGAATTTTTCTGTGAATTATTATTTTGGGAAATCCTGCTAGCAACAGTAATAACGCTTAAGAGAAAAAGTAAGAAAAAAAAATCTGTACCAAAGCAAGTAAAACAGCAGCTAAGTACACACTGTCCTTGTACATCAATTTGAAGAAATGCACTGCACAAAAACAGTGATATAATAAGCTGAGTCAAAAACTCCTTGTACTGAAAATTCAGACACATCATGATTGTGTGCTGCAGTCAGATTCTTATCTGCCAGTAAACTCTGTGGGAAAGCAAGCAGAGCAGGGAGAAAAAAAAAGAAAAAGCAGATGCATCATCAGTAGAGACATAATTTGTCAGGTATTTGATAGTTGCCAAGAGCAAGGGAAAGGAAGAGAGATAATAAAAGGCACCCAACAATTATGCTGGTTAAAAGCAGAGTTTAATTGCTAACAGTCAACTGTGCCCTGTGCATACATTTATAAAACACAGCAGTTTTGCTGAATTCTCAATATCCACGTAACAAGCCAATACATCCTATACATAGGCTGCTTTAAGAGCTGAACAACAAATTTCACTTGCTATGTAGAGGCCACCAACAAATCTTACCTCTATGATCACACACACACACATAAAAAGAGAACATTAGGACCACAGATAAATTCAGCTGTCGGCAGATGCAAACATGAGAGATGTATGCACATCTCACAATGAACAGTAATGCAAAGGTTTTTGACACTGCCTTTGACTGTCTCCAGCAATTACATTCTGTGCAGTAGACAGAGCTGACCAAACAGCTAATACTGAAGAGTAGTACTTCCTTGTGGTATGCCTAAAGGAGTAAAACCTGTCTTCAGGGCGCTTCACCTGACTCTGAATGGAACTTTTATCTCCAGGGTCAACTCACCAGCAGGTCAATTACCTCTACACTGGCAGCCTAGACAAACACTGTTATGTTTCCATGACACTTGACTCTAATGGAAGAAATAGAGAGGCATAAAAGCAAGATGAGTGACAGAAAGCCAAAAAAGAAGGTAACACAAGTTTAAGAGAAAGTCTTCAGCAGATTTTTTTGTCAGGAGGAGCCAAGAATTTGCAAAACATGAGAAAAAGAAAAGAAAGCTCCAGCTCCAAGAAAAATGTTCATTTTCCTGCTCAACTCTACTGCCTCTTCAGGAACTGGCTTTGCCCTGAGGATAAGCCCATCTTCCCTTTAGACAGCCTTACTACATGAATTTTCATGTCACAGTTCCCAAAACAGGCCAGTACTTTCTGTAACATGAAAGGTGATCTCTAGAAGATAAAAATAAATAATACATACATAACTTAGGGCATATGTGCTAAAGCACAATTGAATTGATCCTCTCCCCACTCCTTTTAAATTCTGCTCACCAAAAGAAAAATTGTAGAAGATGCAAAACCAAAGATTACCTTCTTTGAGTCGCTCTAAGACAGAAATCAAAAGGAAGAGCTGAAAAAAACGACTCTAGAGCAGCCAAATTTAAAGTTGCAGTCATCACTTTGCTTACAGATCAATGTAACTCTACTAATATGGTGTCATTCCTGGAATTACATTTTCCATAGTAAATATTAAAACATATTAACTGCTGAGGATGATGTCAATATTTAAGATGATTCACTTGAGGAGACACAAAAGCCAGGAAAATCATATCCTTATCCTCTTTCTTGCCTAGATGCTCTGCTAGACTCATTAACAGTCACACAAGCCATGGAGCTAAGTGCCGGTGTGACTAACAATTTTTGTTTCCTGCAAAACTGAGAAGAAAGTGGCTTACCTTAAGTTTTCTCTTTTTTTTAAAAAAAAAACTTCCCCTCTACTTTAGCATCTCTGCCACATGTAAAAAGAGAAGATGCATTCAGATTTGGAAAGAGTGAAGACGTGTTTTCTTGCCTTGATACTCCCCTTCAGTTGTCATTCCTTTAATACAGACCCACTTGCAGTAGCAGCTGTAGGAGTTTAAATGCAGTCAAATTACTGCCAGATTGCTGTATTTTGACCATTTTTTCAAGACATGAACAGATGTGAATAATAATAAGAAAGACTGTCTCCTTCAGCACCTGTCATTATGGGATTCCACTTCAGTTTCTTCTCAAGTTTCTCAACATATCTTTTATAAGCCCAAGCACCTGCAATGTAGTGATAACACTCTTGATTGCAAAGATAAGCTTCAAAACAAGAGCAACACAGTTAAAGCCCAAAAGTAAATGGCAAACAGGAGCATTTTAAACATCTCCTTTTCAAAACAAACTCTATTTCCTTAATCATGTGAGAAGATTCTACATGGTCCCACCAGTTGAAGCTGTATGTTCTTTTCAAAGCCCTGTTTTTGTGTTTTTGTGTCTAGAGCACATGGCCATTTCTCCAAATTCCATGTGACAAAAAGACAGTAAAGAATACAGATCTGAAACTTTACAGCACTGTATCTCGGCTACATTCCTGTGTAGCAACAGAGACTCTCCAGGGTTCCTGTGCTCAGCAACAAAGGTTTAGGGATTGTTTGTTTTAAAGAATTTTCCTCTTGAATGACCTTTTAAATTCCGCAGAGCCAGAGACACAGCTTACCATAAGATTTTTCAAGGATGTTTCACAACCATATGGAGCTTTCAGCAAGATGCAATGTGTGGAATACCCCTCAGCATAGTGTTACCTATTCTACTAATTGCTCACACCTTACCATTTCTGCTGACATCACAAACACTGAAGTAGGATGCTTTTTCCTTAAGGAATCTTGATTCATGCCAGAACCATGAAATCAATTTTTTCTTCAGTTAAGGACAGACATTCCTCCTGCCCTCGTTGTTTGAAAAGATTCAAAGAAACTTGCGGTTTCATATCATTTCAAGAATGTTTTCTTGTTACAGTTACAATACATCATTTACATATAATTGGTTTTGTGAGTACATGTGGGCAATGTGAGAACTTAAACTACTGTAGGAACTCAAATGTAAACCCTCATCACCTTTGAACAATTTACCTCGGATGTGAATTAGAGCATCAGGCAAGAGACACTTCACATCAGTTCAGTACTGCAGCTCATGTGTTGCCCCTCACAGAAAAATGCATCTGTCCCACCTCAAGAGCCAGCAAAGATGCAAAAGCAGGTTGGCCGCTTCCACGCACTCTGGAGATGCCTATCACACACTGCAGTTTTGTAGACAGACATGCAGCCATATCCACATGGAGGCATCCCAGGCCGAAGCAAACAAGCAATATGGAGACACTCAACTGTGGACACAGGTCACAGGTTCACAGTGTGCCCATCACCTTACATACACAAAACTCCCATATAAAACAGAATAAATATATAGAAGGTAGACTGCGCTGTCTGAAAAGAAATTACTAACAGGTAAACAGGCTAAACTGGGCCTGACTTTTGCAGTGGTGAGTAAAGAAACAAGATCTAGAGATGGGTTTTTTGGGTTCAGTTTGCTTTTTTTTTTTGAGCTGTGTACCAGAAGGAATACAAGGTCTTAATTGCTGAGCTCATATTCTCCTGATAAAGGCTGGCACTGACAGTTTACAGCAGAAGAAACTGAACCCAATATATACTGGCAAAATTGCCAGTATTTACACCTTTCAATCTTCCAAATTTTGTAACTGTGCAACTGCAAGACAAAATGAGAGATTAATGACAAAAAATAGAACACATGGGTTTTTGTGTGCGTCATGACTGCCTTGACAGCTGACTACAAAACCTAATTTAAAAGCCAAGGATTGTTCGGTTTTGTGGTTGTTTTCTCTCCCTTAAAGATAGGGGAGAATAAAACACAAGTAAACCTAAGACGGTGCTTTACAGAAGACATTCAGCTGAAATGTTGTCCTTTATTTTAAGCTGTCTCTTATATCAAATATATACTTCCCTAGTGAGTTAAGACACCAGAAGCAAAACTAATTATTAGAATTCTTGGGCTGCACTTGTGAACCAAGACCCATTTACAGTGTTTACAATGGTGACTATAAACAAGGTATCTAAGCCAGTGGATTTAGCCCACTCATCCAAGGAGGCAGAACATTCCAGTGCACCGAGAAACACATTCTATTTCCAGCTCTACCTGAAATTACTTTGTTCAACCTCTCCACTGAATTACTTGAAAGACAAGAAAGTGAACAATCTTTTTTTTCTTTTTAAATTATTAGCAAAGCAATTTTACTGAAGAACAAGAGCAAGTATTTCATAAAATCATAAAATGTAGAGATGAGGCTAAAATTCCCAGCTTGCATCTCAGACAGCAAGCACAGTTCTAAGTCAGAGGTATTCTATCATGCCACAGTGGATGCTACCAAAGGAAGAATGGAGACCTTATAGA